ATGTCAGGGAAAAATGGCTTTTGGTACGATAATAGACCAAAGACCTATAAAATGTGAAATAAATGGCTGGTAAATGGTGAAGATGGTATCTTCATCTATAGAATTGAGGATGTCAGAATCACAGAGAAGCATCAGAGTAGCATGTCACCACAGCAACTCGGGGAAAAATATATAAAACTGTCATCTTGCCTGGAATTTAAGCCGTAATAAGAAGGTCCTAGAGGTAAAAAGCTGCTGGGTGGTTGGCATCAGCACAGACTGAGCCTGGATGAAAGCAGAAAACCTGCAGGAGCTCCAGCCAGAGCTGCAAAACCAGAGACGCACCATCAGATGTGGAGCGGAGGATTTCTGGCTCTCTGTGAGGCTCACAAACTAAATCACTGCCTCAGTGAAAGACACAAAAACTCCTTTGTTCCTTTTGTGCTTTAATTTTAACAGATCCATACAATGCGAGGGATGCTGAGGCGGAAGCGGTGGAGCATGATGATGTAGCTTTTCACATCACGGCTTTGTTGATCATTTAAACAATACAGATGTTAAAAGCTTTGAGATAAATGGCGCCTGATCAGAAAGTCAAATCTTTGAATTATTTTTAGTGTGATGCCATCTTCAGGCTGCACGGTGGTGCAGTGGGTAGCTCTGCTGCAAGTTTGATCCTTTCTGCATGGAGTCTGCATGTTCTCCCTGTGCTTGTGTGGGTTCACTCTGGTGCAGGGGCGGATTTAGGAAATCTGGGGCCCTACACTGGAAAAATTATCAAGGAATAAGTAAATTAATTGTATTTACCCTTAATTTGAGTAGGTAAATGAGATAATTTGCCAATGGAATTGGTATTTTTACTCCTAAAATAAGATATTTAGATAAATTGCACTTGGAATAAGACAAAGCAATTGCGTTTTCTTATTTTAAATGTAAATTGTCTTGTTCCATTGGCAAAATGTCTATTTTACCTCCTCAATTCAAGAACAAATGCACCTATTTTAAGAAAAAATGACTTATCTAGATTTAGAATTTTTCCAGTGTAGGCAAAGACAGTCAGGGGGCCCTCTATATTGAGAAGACAACACATAAAACAGAACCATTATACAGATAGAGACATTTTTATAGCATAGAAATCCATTATTTGTTCCAGGTTTTTTCCTCACTAAGCCCATTCTCACTTAGCTGATTGCTCCTTCAGGTGTTTCCAAAAAGGCGACGGCAAAAGTAAGTAATCCAGTCCTTCTTTTCACTGTAGACAAGCCATGATCTGCTTATCTGTTCTCCATTTTTTATTTGGATGTGTCATGATCTGGCCTGTTTGCTCTCCCTTAATTGCTTATTTCTTTCACCTGTTGTTTTCCCTCCCTGCCTCAATTATCATTTATTTCCCTCACCTGTTTCCTTCGGTTTATATTCTGTTCAGACTGAGCATTCTGGGTCAGATCATTATTTGCTATTCTGTTAGTCTGTCCAGTTCTGTTCATTTGATGCCAAGGTTCATGTCCTGGATCCTGGCGGCCAGTGGAAGGAGGGTTTTGTGTCTGTCTCGTCTCCTGATCGTCCACGGTTCCTCCCCTGCTGAGTCCTCTGGGTTTTTGGCTCTGTACGCAGGGAGGTTCAGTTTTTATCTCAGTAAGCCTGGCTCCAAGGTGGAGACCAGATTAAAGGTCCTGCATTCAGTTCTGGTTCCAAGTCCTGTTTCAGCTATCTTCTTCCACTGAGCCTCCCCGTCTGCACCTGATCCTGTCCACTCCTGTGCGTTACAACTGGTCACGCTTAGGACTCTGAACTGGACTCTGGATCCTGTCTGTTCTGAATCCCTGACCAGGATCGACTTCCTGCAAGACCTCTGGAACTGCAGCACTGGGGACACTTTTGGACTGGACTGTTTAACCAGGTAAGTGACCAACTCAGATAATCATCTTCCGTCAGATGATCGTGGTCACTTATCTGTGTTTCTCCCACAAACAGAGTGTCTGAGGTTGGGCGGTGCCCCGCCCCCCACCTGCAGTCGCCACGTGTCACAGATCCTAGCAGCTCCCCATTTAGTTTTGTTCATTTAATAAACGTTTTGAACTTGCCTACTGACTGTCTCCTTGAATACTGGGTCCATCTGTCCTCGTTTCTTGACAGGATGAAATAATAGCTGGAAGTAAATCTGAGCCTGTCTCCATTTCTCAGTTCTCCATTAGAAAGGACATCAAAAATCCTGATGATTTCCACTTCTACATTAGAAAAAAAAACAATAGAAAAACACCTAAACAATTGATTTCTGGTCATCTGGAGCAAATACAAACCAAATTCCAAATTTAATTTTAAAATCCCCCATCTTCAATATGGTTAATAAATACTTATCCATATAGGGGGATGGTTTAATGCTAACTAGTTGTCCATCTCTTATTCAACAGGTGTCAAATTAGCAGCCTAGTTTGCTGCAGATTGTGGATTACTGCTGCTGATGTTAGCTGCTGCTGCAGTAAAGGAGCTGAAGTCACACTGAATATTATAAGCGTTCTGATGGCATTTTGACAAAAGAATTTTTATCAAAAGATAATGAATGTGACAAATAAGTAATAGATTTATTAACCATACATGTAAAAGGAGTTTTATGGGGCCACCAGGAACTTGGGGCCCTAGATAACTGCCTAGAATTGCCTGATGGTAAATCCCCCCCTGCTCCAGGTACTCCGGCTTCCTCCCACAGTCCAAAAGCATGACTGTTAGGTTAATTGGCTTCTCTAAATTCTCCTTAGGTTTGTGTGTGAATGGTTGTTTGTCTCTGTGTTTCCCTGCAATGGACTGGAGGCCTGTCCAGGGTGGACCCCGCCTCTCACCCACTGACAGGGGTAAGCATGATGGAAAATGGATGGAGGCCATCTTTGATATAACCCCTACAGTTCCTAACCATAATCCTGCAACCTGCACCTCCAGAGGCTCTTTACCTCACTTAATTTAGTTTTATAATTTTGTTCTTTGCTGCTATATAAAAATAAAAACAATTCCTGGTGTGGTTTGGTCCTGTTGTTGTCAGGATCCCAGTTTTGTGTTCGTCTGTCTGTCTTGTCTTTTGTGTTTCTCCCTTCCACCACCAGGAGGCGCCTGGCTCCGGTTCGCCTCCTCACACACCTGCAAGCTGTTGCCTCATCACCGGACTGCTCTCAAGCTGCTGGTTGCCACTACTTCGACGCCAGAGTGTTTGCCAGTTTGCAGGAAGCCTTCCTGCAAACTGGACCTTTTGGACCGCCTCCTCCCAAGCGGGATCAGCTGAGTCTTACACTGAGCGACGGATTGGAGGAGGTTTGGATCCAGCCACCTTTGAGCACGCTGAGATCTCTCCGAGTAAGGAAGTCATCTTCACCTCGACCCGTTCAAGTACCACAGGAAAACTGAGTTGCAACCAGCGGCTGCATCCTTCCACTCCGTCCGAGTTCTGGGTAAACCCTGTTCCGCCCTCCACCGAATCAAACATTCTCTGGAAGACCATCACATAGACTGGAGTCTAAGTGTCTCTACTTCTCTGGAAACATGAGTGGCAACAAATCCTCTCCTTCAAGATGAACAACTCCAATTTCCCACTGAGCCTGAATCTAACAGTCTATCTTCTCCTCATCTTTCAGTTCCCGGCCGAGCAGAGTTCAGAGGAACTCTGCACCGAACTCAAAATACTCTTCAATAAAACCCGTTGAACTTTTACTCTGTGTCTCTGTTTGGCTTCACTGCATGTGGGTCCGAGCCTTAGATAAAATCATGACAGTTGTGTGAAGATGGTGAGTTCAAAAATCGCTTGTTGAACCAAGTCCAGACACAGCAGGTCAGTCTGTCTCCAGATAAATATTAACAACAAGATTATTACCAAGAGTCTCTGATCTGTTTTCTCCTGTCAGTGTGGATCAACCTGCTCCATTCCCAAACAGCTGAATGCGGCTCCTTTTCCATAGGAAGAAAAGGAGCATTATTCATTATATGTACCCAAAACTCCTCACATCATTTTAAACATTAAATCAGATGTTATGAGGTAACAAATATGATGTGCTCCAGTAGTGTTTTTCCTCATACCCAAATATTTCTTTGATCACTACATCTTATTTCTACACGAGTAAAAGAACAGTTAACTTGTGCTATTTATAGAAGTACATTTTCAGTTAGTCTCTGACGTGCACACCACACTTTTCAGATTTCCTTTTTCCATTTAACTATTATTGCCTAATGTTTTTGTCTTTTGCAGAAAAATCCCCATAAATACGTCAAAGTTTCTGCTTGTGACAGAATTTGACAGTGAAAAGCCTTAATACTGTTAATACAAGCGTCTCATTAAGTGCAGAAATACTCATTCTATTGGCAGATCATCTTACCTGCTCAAACTAAGGGTGAAGACGATTATTTAAAGACATTTCTGCTTATGTTTAGGTAGTTTTTGCAGTGCAGGTCTGATTTGACTGAATTTGCTCTTGAACGTCCCTGAAAATGACGTGTTGATGATAATTTGGGTCCACATTAATAAACCAAACTGAAATGATTAACTTCCAGTCGGGGTGCATTTGTAATTTGTCCAACCTTAAAGTTTTTATCCACACACGCAGGGACAGAAAGGAAAGTACTCCTTCATTTCCAAACAGGCTTCATAGTGAGACCACAAGAGGGGGCAGTGAGTGTGGAAGGCTGGGGCGTCTGATGCGGCTCCTCATCTTATCCAAACATACAAAGTGCTTCATGCGGAGAGTTTTTATTAGACAGGAATTATATTCTAACCCAGTATTGCTGCCGCCAGCTCATTGTTGTTATTATTCTTATTTCTGTGCGCCATGAATCCATTCATAGATCTGTTTGGCATCGCCAGCAGGGGAATAATAAGTAAATTATATCAGATCAGAGGTTTTTAGGCATGCTAATCTCTCAGTGCGGGTTTTGGCTCGGATGGGATGAATAACTTACCTGAGCTCATCCATAATCATCCCCGCTAAGCCAGCCCATTGGACGGAGGCGCATCAGCTCCTCCATAAGGAGATGCGCAGAGGAGCAGAAGGACAGCAGAGCTTTGCGATGCTGAGCGGAGTGAGCGCGCACGAGCTCTGCGCGTAAAAGGCGCGTCTCTGTCTTTACGCGCGGCGCGGAGTGGAGAGATATTTCTGAACTCCTGTTCATCTCATCAACAGATGGGGGATATTTAATGGACTCTTGGCAGACTGTGACTGATGTCTGTTTAGTTGAAAAGTTTAGGCTCTGATTGAGCCTGAAGCCAAACTCCTTACTTCTGTCTGCCTTTGAAACCGGACCTGTTTTTCCTGCAACCTGTAGCGTTGAAAACTGCATCATGGATTATTTATTCAATACCACCGATGTGCCAAACGGGACCTTTGGTTCCAACGGGACCAACAACGGAACCGAGTACTGGAACCAGTTCGTGCAGCCGGTGTGGAGAATCATCCTGTGGGCCATCGCCTACAGCTGCATCGTTGTGGTGTCGGTGGTCGGTAATGTGACGGTGATCTGGATCATTATGGCGCACAAACGCATGAGGACCGTCACCAACTATTTCCTGCTCAACTTGGCGTTCGCCGAAGCCTCCATGTCCGCCTTCAACACGGTGGTCAACTTTGCCTACGCGGTGCACAATGAGTGGTACTTCGGACTGGTCTACTGCCGCTTCCACAACTTCTTCCCCATCGCGGCAGTTTTTGCCAGCATCTACTCCATGACTGCCATCGCCCTGGACAGGTAGGCTGCGGGTCATGGAGCAAAGCCTGGGGGAAGAGATGAACAGAGGTCAGCCTTTAAAAGGTCCTAAAACATCAGCTGGTTGTCATGAAAACGCAAATGGCAGAAAGGCTGCAGTTAATAATCCCATTAAAATAGAAAATAATCAATCTTTATGAGCTGAAAATAACTGAACATTCTTCTGATTAATCCATAATACATGGATCAAAATGGAGATAGAAATACCAGATATTTAAAATAATGAATACACCTAAAGAAAGACTGAGACAGAATTATTAAAATCTGTTTAGTTACACATTTAGTTACATAAAACATTTTCACACAGTGTGAAGATCTAATAACAGAAAAAATAGAACCTAACAATGAGGCAACAAAAAATTTGTTTGGAGTTAAACTATTAAATTAGACATTAAATGCAGGGTTTATAATTATACTGAGTGAAAATCTGCTCAGATGTTTAATAATCAGTTTAAGATTGGAAAGTCATACATTTTAACTTCATATGGTGTGAATTAACACCCAGAATTTGAAGGGTTTTCTGGATATTGACACTAATATGAATGAAATTAACTGACATTAGTTGTAGAATATATTTTAAACTAATTTAGAGAGGAACCAAATGTTTTCTGAATCAGCAGGTGTTAAAATAACGCTGTTGTTTTACAGTGATACTCTGTAATGAATAGAATCTAAATGGTTTTTATTCATTTATGTGCAGAACTACTGTAGATTGTTTGGGTTTTTGATTCCACATTTAAACGGCTCCACAGTTTTACTGCAGTAGAAAGAAACTCCCTCTGGATGCATCTCTGGATGTTCATCTGTTCTGTGACTCAGACAGTAGGTTTGCTTTATGCTCATTTGTTCTGCAAACTGAACAGAATCACCGCTTTTCTTAGTTTATCCAAAGTTTCTCATTAATAAAACATCTTTTTTTTTTCTTTTTACAAAGGGTAGATTTTATAGACACAGTAATATCAGATGGTGGCAGAATATTGAAGATTAGTCTTAGATGAAGCAAAGAGCTTTTTGGAATTTAGTTTGGAATTTGCTTTATCTCAGATTTTTAGCTTTATTTGATCTATCTATCTATCTATCTATCTATCTATCTATCTATCTATCTATCTATCTATCTATCTATCTATCTATCTATCCATCCATCCATCCATCCATCCATCCATCCATCCATCCATCCATCCATCCATCCATCCATCCATCCATCCATCCATCCATCCATCCATCCATCCATCTATCTATTTTACCTTTAGAATAGTTTTTTTATGTTTTCAGACTACATATTTTTAACTGATCATGTAGAAGAAACATTTTTCCAGACTCTGATACTCAAATGAAATTTTACATCAGTTTTAAATGATAACTTGATGCATTAAACTGAAAAGGCTCCAAACCAGCCGGCAACATGGGAAAAACACAGAGCTAATTCACATGGCTTAATTTATTGAATAGTTGAGTTCATTTATATTTTTTATTCATTTATGAATTTTATTTGATTAATCTATCAAATAAATAAATGTAATTTTCTCAATTTGCTTTTGGGATCAATCAAATATTTTCAATTGAATTTAATACTGTAAAAGACTGAAGTTTTTTCTTTATCAGTGAAATTTTCTCAACCATCAAACTTTTAACGTCCTTATTTCACTGACGGTATTTTTTCTATTTATTTAAGATCCAACCCGTGTAAAATGATCCGCCCCTCAGCCTCGACTAAAATGATTTCCTCATCTTTTCATTCAGGCTTCAAAGGCTAAAATATAGATGGTCATTTAGTAACAGACTTCCCCAAACATAAAAAGGAAACCCTTTTCCGACCTGAAAGTGAAAAAAGAACCTAGTTTTTCTCTTTCCTCTGTTAATTACTGCTGATGTTTGGTTGCACTAACGGGACCAGCGCCTCTATGGAAGCTGAAGAGCAAAGGAAGGAGAGCGTCTTCCAGGTGGTGTTTGGAGAAGATGGAAGAAGCGGCAGCTTTAACAGTTAGCTGCACTCTAGATCATCATTTGCAGGTTTTTGTTGAATGCCATCATTTGGGGCTTTTCCACTTCAATGAGACACACATTCATCTTCCCTTCCTGTCAGCGAGCTTTATGGCGTGGGACAGCCCAACTATTTAATGGCAGCTCTGTCTCAGACTGAAATCTCGCTCTGTTTGTAATGTTATGGCTAAATAATACGCCAATAAGTGTGTAAGGTTTTAGGAAGAAGGGTTTCTGTTGATGCGCGTAAAAGCGGCCCTTTGTGTGTTTGTTGTTATTCCATCTCTTCTCTCGGTGCAGTCATTGTTTTTGTGCAAACATGTGAGGCTGAGAGCGTTCCCTCTTGTTCCAACATCAGATCAAGCTCCAGCCCTTTTCTCTTTTATTTATTTATTTTACTTATTCCACCTCTGTCTGCTTTGCCAACTGACATGGCTTCTGGTTTTCCATGTGATCAGGAACCAGTGACTGTAGTGGGAAGGTTTAAAGTCAGGAATTGTTTAAATCTTACTAACAGTTATCATCTAGGTGCTATAAATCATTTTCTTTTGGAGAATTTGAAATAAATTTGAAATAAACTTCTGGAATCTGAAAAACAACTTCATCCAGTTGAACATCAGACAGGAAATACTTCCTGGATGGGAAGACGTTTTGCTTCCCATCCAGGAAGTATTCTCAGTTAAAAATATCTGGAATGGCGCTGAGTTCCAGGCTTTATGGGTTGGTCCAAGAAAAGTCTTGTTATGGCTTAAAAAACATGGACATATAAATGAAAACAGGTCCATCCCTTTATAATGGGGAGTCGTTTAGGTCGTTGTTGTTGGTTCTGCTGGAGGTTTCTACCTGTTCAAAGGGAGTTTTTCCTCTCCACTGTCGCTACAAGCATGCTTAGTGTGAGGGATTGCTGAAGAGTCAATGAGTCGATGCAATCAGCTGGTTTTCCTTAGATAGAAAACTTTGAATCAGTTTGACTGGATGGTCTGATTAAGTTATAAAGTGTCTTAAGATGACATGGGTTGAAGTGAGTGAATTGGTGCTATAGAAGTAAACTGAATAGAATTGAATTAAAAGTAGTGTTGCACTAAAATGGTGGTATCGGTATCAATGAGTACCGACAAATAGGTCACCGATTCCATTTTGAGAGCAAAAAGTTTCTTCAACTATTGTCATCCATTCCAGGTAGGCAATAAAAAGTTCTACTGGATTCACTTTTAGTCTTTTTCCTGCTTCACAAAGGTAGGCAGCAGCTTGAAGCCATGGTGGCAATTATTTTACACCCACTAGTCTGCAGTTCTTCATTTATACACACACATCAATTTCAAACAGATGGTATCGGTATCAGCCAATACTGCACAGCCAGGTATCGGGGCCAAAAACGGCATCGGCGCAACGCTAATTAAAATAAATTAAAAGTACCATTTTTAAACCTACTTAAAGTATAAAAGTAAAAGTAATGCAGAAAAAAATGTTAAGGACAGAAGCTTCACTGCACTCCAAAATAAAGGAACATTTTTCTATTATTCTGGATGATAACTTCTTTAGTTTTATAACTAATGGTAACAGTGTCAAATTTAACTTTGCATCATATTGAAAAACTATTTATTTTGGTCTGTGGTGAACAACAAGTTGGGGCAGCACTGAGTCCAACCACAAAATCATTAATTATCTGGATGAATCTAATTATTTTCATGGTTGTTATTTTTTTTTTAAATACCAACAGGCCAAAAAGAAAATTAGCTTAAATAAAATAAAACTAGCGAGTCTATTTTTAAAATTTAAGGAGTAGAAAGTAAAAAGTTGTCTAAAAAATATTTGCTTCAGTAAAGTAGAGACAGCTAACATTTCTACTGAAGTAAAGTAATGAAGTATTTGTAGTTGACACCTCTGCAGAGCAGCAACTAGGCATCAGTTTAGCATCTAGGATTTCCTAAAAGCGCGTTCACGAGTCTACGGAAACGGCGGCAGACCAAACCAGATGAAAGTGCGCATTCAGCTCGGCAAAGAACTCATGCTCTTCCTCAACACTGAAGTCCTCAGACATTTTTCTTTCGTTGTTTCTTTCTTTGCACAGGTAAACAGCACATTTCTTCTTCTACGCCGGCATTATCGGCAGAGCAGACGCTGAATGCGCACTTTCATCTGGTTTGGTCTGCCGCGGTTTCCGTAGACCCGTGAACGCGCTTTCAGGAAATCCTATACACTACTGTTTATGCTCTAAAAACATTCTAAATGACTTCGTTTCGAGTAAATTCTGGACGCTACCCACTCAGGACACTTGGAATACATTGGACGAGCAGTATGGAGGAATATTGACACGTTTTTTGTGGACTTTTATGGACCTTTCTGCCTCGGGCGCCATAGACCTCCATTATTTGAATGTCAGCAGACAGCAAGAAGCCTCCCAGATCTCCAGATGCATTTGAGATATCAAAAAAGTACTCCAGAGTGTTGTTCAGCATGGGGGTGAGTAGAAAATGAAGGCTAATCATGTTTTGGGTGTACTATTCCTTTAAATTGAAAAAGCTTCCTGGATGCTCTCTCTCTTTACTTCTGACTTCCTTTACACCAGTTTGATCTTTTTAAAGTGTTGACCATTAATTGCATTAGTGATTGTTACATTTCTTGCCATGATAAGTAGGGGTGAGTATTGGCATGGGTGCTGCGATATAACCTGACTCCGCCAGATGGATTTGCTCAGCATATCCATCTGGAAACCTTCCGTTGAAGTAATTTTGGGAAGGGGCGAAAATACTGGTTAGCTGATTGGCCTATGTTGGTGATAGACGGGCCAAATAAACCAATCAGATCAACGAAGCATATGACGTACTAACAGAGCGACGAAGAAAACACAACCACAAGCCAGGCTACTTTTGCCGAAACCAGTCGGGAGAAGATCAAAAACATCTTTTCCTCTGAGAAAAGCCTCCAGAGCAGTGTTTTGCTCTTCTTTCAGTGAAGAAATACTCTGTAATTCCGATAAAACTTGCTCCGTAGCCACGCTA